CTCTCCAAAAAAAAAAAAAGAAGAGTAAGGGGACAGCAGGCGGCATAGTGGTTAAAGGCGCTGGACTACCACATGGCCGACCACAGTTCAAGTCCTGGACCTGGCGGCTTGCTCTCTCTCTCTCTCTCTCTCTCTCTCTCTCGCCCTGTCCCCCTCTGGTCAAATTAAAATGAATAAATAACATGAAATAAAATAATTCTTTAAAAAAATGAAAAAATAAAAAGAGGAGTAAGTTCTATAGTTCTATATAGCATAATAGGGTAATTATAGTTAATAAGAACTTACTGTATATGGTATTTCATAATAGCTAAAAGAAATTTTAAATGTCCCTAAGACAAAGTAATGATAAATGTTTAAGAGGAGGAATACTGGGACCAGCAGATAGCATAATGGTTATGTTGTTGGACTCCCACATAGTCGACTGTGGTTCGAGTCCCAGACCCAGAGCCTTGAAACTCACGCTGGGCATGTGTGCATGCGTACACAAGATCCTGAGAGGAAAATGGAGAAGGGACTGTGGTTTGGCCATACCTCCTAGGGAGTGGTTTCTCCCTTTCTGTCTCTCTCTGGCAAGTGCATGGAAAAATTAGGAAAAAAAAAAACTCTCAAAAGAGAAAGATGATGAATACTATGATTTGCTCATTATATATTGTATTCATATACTGAAAGATCATACCATGATCCTATAAATATATATAATTATCATAAATGAATTTGGAATTAGGAGGCTGAATGGTGGTGTGGCAGTAAAATGCCATCTTTCTCATGGAATAAATAAATTTAAAAAAAAATTTTAAGCAATAAAATGCTTGGCTCTTGCTCTCAATAAATTTGTCTACTAGCTGGGAGGACAACATCCAAATGAAAACAACTGGAGAATAATTCGAGGCAGTAGATGCGAAGTGCGTGATAACTCCCCAAGAGAAACAGGGACTTTCACGCCTTCGTGGTAGAAGTCTAAACTGGTACGGCCCCCAGTGGGAGAATTCAGCCACAGAGATCAAAATTACAAATAAACATCTCCTTTGACCCTATAATTCAACTTCTGGGATTTTATCCTCAGCTGTACTTCCGAAATAACACATACTGGAAGTTATTCATTGCACTGTTACTTAAAATAACAAGATTGGAAAGAATTCAAATATCCCTGAATAGGGGACTGGTTAAATACATTATCATACATATAAATGAAGGAATATTTTAAAGATAGAAAAATGCATGAGGAATAGGTCATCCAGTGGCATGGTAGTTCAGGCAGCTGGATCCCACGTGGTTGGCTGTACTGTTTGAGTCCCAGACCCGGTGACTTCAGAAGCACACCAGGTGCACGTATGCATACCCAAAATCCCAAAAGGAAAGAGAAAGGAGCGCAGAGTGACCATGCCCCATGTAGGGGGGCGGGGGGACCTTTCTCACTTTCTCCCTTGTCTCTGTCTCTCTCCGGTAAGCACATGTGCCCTATGGCAAAAA